CTTAAGTTGATTTGCTTTGTTTCTGTCTCTTCTGTGCTCTTTCTGTCTTCTAGTGGGCCTCGGTGTCAAAAATCTTAAGTTGATTAGCTTTGTTTCTGTCTCTTCTGTGCTCTTTCTATCTTCTTGTGGGCCTTGGTGTCAAAAAAACTCTCATCTTAAGTTGATTTGCTTTAAGTTGATTTGCTTTGTTTTTGTCTCGTCTGTGCTCTTTCTGTCTTCTTGTGGGCCTTGGTGACAAAAAAATATCATCTTAAGTTGATTTGCTTTGTTTCCGTCTCTTCTGTTATCTTTGCGCCTCCCATGCACCTCGTAGTGATGCAAGTGGTGCTGTGGAACGCCCCCGACTTTTTTAGCATTTTCTCTGTCATTTTTGTATCCGATGATCTTGTGGAAAGTCGGGGCCCAGTTTGTCAAAAAATTGTCAAAAAACAGTGCATTAATGATCCAAAAAAGTCTTATTTTTTGCTGTGTTTTCCAATGTTTTATGCACATTGCATTTCAAAGCCTTCGAATGCGAGATAACAAGATAAACCTCAAAAATTGCCTCTCGTGCAGGTAAAATGCAACTTTTTGAAGGTAAATAAGCTCAACACAAACCCACCCAAAGCAACTTTTTACTGTAAATTACAGTGTTTTTTGCACCTTCGAACCTGCCTCAAGACACCCCAAAAGTCTGCAAATCAAAACCTCGAACTTTCACCCCCCCCCCCCCCGCCCTCCCTCCCGGCCAACAACTCAAAGCGATATTCATCGCTTTCCGTCATCAGCTTGGCCCCCCCCCCCCCCCCCCCCCTTCCCTTTCGGTAATACTTCCAAGCGCTACAGCGCTTTCCGTCATCATCGCTGAATTAGACTTAGAAAAAATATATAATGTCGACATGCATATAATTGATCTCCAAAACCACCAACTACCAGGACCTTCCATTCGAGGTGTCTGTAAATAGCCTCATAAAGAGGTGATGACCGGCGTCAAACCACCGGGGGAATGGAAGGTCCGGGGAGTGTGTGGTTTGGAGTGTGTGGTTTTTGGGGGGAGTCTCTATACAAGCACGGCCAAGTCGGAAACAATCGGCCAAGTCGGCTGGCATGCGGATCCCGATCTGCTGGGACCCGGATCCGGACCTCGTTCAGTCTGGTCAGTGGATTTGGGGCTCCCAGGAACCGGGACTTCCGCCGGTTCCAACGAAAAGTGACCCACAAAAAAACAGATCGAAGTCATCCCCCCCCGAAACCCCGTCTAACGGAGCGAAATCTGGTTTGGAAGGGGGGTTCAAATGGATCGGAGAGTGTCCATTCGTCGGACTCGTCCCACCAAGTGCCACAAGTAGAGTCGAAATCAAGTATATAGTATAGTGTAGTTCCTCTACCACAAGCAGTGACAGATGATCCCCGCCTAGTGTTACTTGGGGGTCCCCGCTGCATCGATGCATCGATCGCTTCTCCCCCACGCTGTCGCCTCCATCTGTTGCTGCAGAAGCGAAAAGATGGCCTTGTCAAGTCGGAGAAGAAGCTGCGAGGGCTGCCGTGCAAGTGCTCCAGTGGGGACAGACAAAACGCCTGGGGGGTGGCCTCTGCAGACATGAAAATCACGCGGTGGCCTGGGGGGGTCAGTGGTTCTTTTTCTGCATGGGAACGCGCTGGTTTGTGCATAGTATGGCTTCAGAATAACACCTCTTAAGCCAAACCTTTCAACAATTACCCAAAAACACGGGAAAAACACGGGCCCTCACAGCGTCCCTCAACTTTCACAGGTGCAAGCTTTGTGGACGGCGCTCTGATGCAGGGGTGGGCAAAGCCTGCAACCAAAGGAAAAGAATTCGGCATCGGAAGCTTGAAACGAAGTATATAATTACTTCTCGATTGAATTGAATTGTCAATTGTATGTTTCCAGGTCTCTATTGTCATCCCCTTTCTTTCTGGTTAGGACTCGGCTTCCAACACACAGGAATCCTCATCGAATCTACCGACCGAAGCGTCCTGCACGGTCTCTTGGTCAGGGTGAACTGGGTCAGCTTCCATTTTCCGGTCGATCTGATCGCGTTCGCATCGCGATCGCATCGCGATCTTCGAACGCGAACGCCAAGAGAAAAACAAGCAGTGCTTCAATTGGGAGTCTCGGCTCGACGGTGTTTTCAGTCACTGAAAACCATTGACCCTGCCATTCCCCCCGTTTCACCACTGCTCACCGTTGCACCCCGTCTTCACGCGGGTCACTGCCTGCTTGTCCGAGTTGCGGAACGTACTGCTCCTGTCACGCCCGGTCACACGTACTGCGCGCGGTCACACGTATGGGGGCAGCAGAAGTTTCCTGGATCGGAGTGCCTTCCACTGGGATGGAAGTGGTGCTGGTTCGCGAGATGTCCCAAAGGATTCAGGTGCTTTGCACCAATGGCGCATGGTTCGACATGAGTGCCCTATCTAGTGCCCTCACCGAACGGTGACACCACATGGCACAATTGCTGTGGCATGTGGCCCGAAATGTAGACGCTTGATGAATAAACCTCCCAAATGAAGTATGCGTTCAATTCAACTGGGCGGGTTTATCAATCAAGGATCTAGATTCATTTCCTGCCATTCGCAGGGTCGGCCCTCTTCGACTTTCCTTTCGCATGCATCACGCTCGCCCTTCCGTCCCGACTTCGCACGACACTCGAAGAAGAGACGATGAAGACCGGGCCTTCGTTGATAGAGCCACACGATCCACACCACCAGGGTCAGGTTGACCATCCTGACCGGATGTGCTGGGCACTGACCATCCACTGTTAGCCCCCAGCTAGCCGATAAAGCCCATCGCACGGATCCGAGATGAAGGAGTGAATCGTTCGTTGAGGTTTACCAAATCGGTGGGCTTCAAAGAGCGAACTCGTTGCATTTATGTGGGGGGGTGAAGAAACATGAACGCACTCCACGGGACAACATGCTATGTGCTGCGTGCTAAACAAAGGAAGGCAAACATATGACCGTGCTCAACCAAAATCGCCACCGGGTGGCCAGATATGCCACCGAACTCGCATTTTTCTGTCGGTTTGGTCCTAGCTCTTGCGAATCTAAGCACCCACGTGTCGCATGTGCTAGCCTTTCAACTGCTAGCCTTTCCGCCTTTCAACTTCCTCAACTGAGCGTGGGGACTGTGTCAAAAAGTACATCCCATAGGCTAGTTAGACATAATTAGGCGTTAGATGAATACCGCACGCAAAGCAAGGGACAGCTCTTAGCCTCTACCTGTCTTGGCCGTACACCTCCGGGACTCGACCATCTGCGATGTAACACTTCCACCCAGGTGCATTCACCATGCTACACCGGTTCATATGCCGCATCTGCCTGAGTGACCTCTATTTATCTATTTTGGACCACCAACCACTCAAAGATATGGTCCAGCATCCAATCAAAACAAATGTATTATTGTCCCTCTGTCTCTAAAAATACACCCCTGGCAACCAACTAACTGACACCCGCTACCCGAGCGCGGTTCTGCCGTTCAGCCCGCGCCAGGCGGCTCCCGCATTGGCGCGCAAGCGCTGGAGCTCTTCGTCCGACCTCCAGTGAGGGCGAGGACCAGTCCCTGCAGTGGGGTTGTAGAAAAGCTGAACCCTTCCTGGCCCACCATTGATTGAATGGTCTGAATCCCAAAGAACCATTGTTTCAGTAAGGATTTTACATGACTGTTTAACAGTTCAACCATTTTAAAAATAGTCTTGGAAGCCTAGGGCCTATAGGGCTGATGTAGAAAAGCCTTATATGACCCCAAGTTGGAAAAAAACATCTCTATTGGTTGGTGATGCAACATAGAGATCACTCAGTGTATACTCAGCTTCTAAGCCGGCCATGTGGGTTACTCGCCCCGAAGCGGGCAGGAGCGGAGCCTTGGACTCGCTCCGCTTTGGACCGTTAGACCAGACCCAGGAGTCACATCAGTCACCAAGAGCTTCTTCCAGCACCACCCAGTTCGGGTGGTTGTTCGATGGAAAATACATCTTCGGGTGGTTCGGGGGGTCTATAAACCACCCTTTGGATGGTGCTGGTTGTTACTAGTAGTAAGGATGCTATTAATAGTACTTACAGTACGGCCAGTAGCCCCCTACTTAGTAGCGTGCGATCGCTCCGTTCGAATGGATGAGTGGATGGGGGCACATAACCTCCTTTCGAACGTTCAAACACCGGCACCCCGTCGAATCCTGCGGGGGCTGGGGCTGGCCACCGAGCCTTCTTGTGGCCCTGATCGGAAAAGCACGGCGACCAGTCGCCCCGCTTCAGCGACTTTGCAAACCCAAAGAACTAGAAATGTTGGCCTCCAACCTAGTAGCTTCTAGCTACTAGTCGAAATGTTGGAACTAAACTCAAATAATTGTTGCCTTGTTAAGAGCCCTTGGTGGATTGGCTTTTGGGTGTCCAGCCCCGCGCTCCGGCGGTCTTAAGAAGCCCCTCCGCCCCTCCTTCTAAAGAGACCCCGAACAAGCGCCTTTGGGCGACCCTTTCACTGCCCCCCACCCGTGTTGACGCCCATTTTGGATGAGCGCCCGCCCATGAAAAACTCTGCGATGCTTCGGAACTCTGCGATGCCTAGGCCTTCGGACGAAAAAAGTGTTCTTTTAGTTACATGTATCATACTCTGCCGTGCCCAGTGTCACAATGAAAGTTGATTCCTTTCAAACCGGATTGAAGGCTCATTTGCAGTTTCTACAGGCTTTTCCATTGTTGCAGGTGGAGGCAAGCGAACTTCCCTGAAACTCCTCGGATGGATTCCAACGCAGCCAAATGCCACCCCTGCAGACAGTAGAACCATGAGCAGGAAGACACATTCGTTCAAATGGCGCACGGGCCCCAACCATTCCTGCAACAACGCCCCCAAGGGATATTTGAGTTGTTCGAGTTGCACAAAGACCACAAATGATGCGACGGTGCACAGGAGGATGCCAAAGGTCACCAAGCAGTCACACCATGCTCTTTCGCGTCTCTTCCGAAGAGCGCACGACAATCTCATAGCGATGGCACAAATAGTTGGCACCGCCCCCAACCACCAGCCTTTGACTGTCCAGGAGCTGAAAGGAAAAAACCACTTCCAGGAGCTGAAGGGGATTCACCGATACACCCCGAAATGGGAAAAGAAATCATGCTATCAGCAAAACCAGGCCACTCGCACCACGAAGAATGCCATCATCCATGGCAGATCGCCAGGTTCGACCAGGATATTGATCTAGGTAGTGTAGAATTGCTGCTGCCAGATCCAGATAGGACCACAGCAAGGGAATGGTGGCCGTGACGCAATGTCGGTATGTGAAGAAGTGCGATGAAAGCTCTTTCAAAAGGCATGGCAGGACCTCTGCTTGCACACTCTGCTCAAACGCCTCGAGCGTGCCAAACCAGATACCAATACATTGCAGCAAAACCTGCCGATCACAGATTTGGATCCGATTCCCAGAAGGATCAACATGGTTCCTCTGGCAACAGTAGCACTGCACCTCTTCCAAGGAGAAGTTGAATAACCTGGCACTGGCTTGCATTGGCTTCCCAAACGATCCACAAACAAAACAAGAACATCTGAATGGCATTAATCCCAAAAGACTGCTAGAACCCGGACATACCACCCATGCAATCCCTCGAGATTGGTTGCCTGTCTACATTGAATTGGCTTCAAATGACGCTACACATACAACGGTCGACGTCGCCAGGCAGCTCGCTTCGCATCTGGTCCACTGCACGGAAGTATCCGCGAGCCACAGAAATCATCGCATACAAGCCGATGAGGAGAACCAAGACTTGACTTCCCCACAGAGCCAGCTTTCCTACCGGAAAGCTGATTGGTTGAAATTTTAAAAAATGTCACTGATGATGGGGAGGAGCATAGAAATAGAGGAGGTATATACTAAAATACCTGTTTCCAAACACGTTGATCAACAAATCTGGTTGCCTACTATGCCCTATTATGCCCTATCAGAACCTGTGAAGAAAAAAACGACTTGAAGTTCCCTAGTGCGAGCTTTGCACTGTTCAAAACACACACCTCGCAAAACCTCGTAACATCTCGCAACTCCGCCTGCAAGGTCCCCTTGTTCTGGAACCCACCCGATGGCAGTGACCACCACCACCATGGTCAGCGTCAGCAAAACCTAGCTTCCACGTGTACAGCATTGTCTGGGAAGACAAATCAACGACAAACAAACACAAACAAACAGAGGATTTCATGGGTTTCTACCAGGTCTTTGTTTGTGCTCAAACCTTGGGGAATGCGAAACCTTGGGGATGAGCGAAACGACCAAGCAGGTGTCGCCAGGGGACCGAACACGGCCCCAAAATCAGCGGCCGCACCAAGAGCTTTGGCTTGCCCGCTGGGCGGCTCCGCATGAAGCCGGCTAATTCAAAGACACACCACAAGCGACGGGTGTACGAGGGGTCCCACAAAACCAGTAGCGAGTCAGAGTACTTCCTCAGTGGTGGTCTCGAGAGACCAAAACATGTCTTTTTAATCCAGGAGTGTGGCTGAACAGGCAGGCTGATTAGTATGGCAAATCACCAGATGATTCACAATTTACAAGCACAGCACCTGACTTTGGAGGATGATGGATTAAAAACTGTCTTTGATGCCCCCCTTTTGTAGGATGTTCAAAACTCCTCCAAAGAAACTATACAAAACATGTTCTGCTGAACCAAAAGTAAATTATCATAAACTATCTATCTGAGCTTCAGAAAGGCCCCCATGCTCAACATGCCACATGCCTTTTGGCGTTTATCCTCTTGGTCAATGCACATGATGTCAAGGAAGACCGGCTGCTGTGGTTGCCAAAGCAAGAGAACCAGAAAGTACATCATAGAGCCAACCAGCATGGCCCAAAAGCCGCGGGGCGAAGCCCATAGGTTTGCGTCCCACTCGAGGCCAGGGAGAAGCTTGGCCGCGAAAAGGCTTGCCACCAAAAGAGCTCCCAGGCTGGAGCAAATCATGGCTGGTATGTGATTATGGATGAAAAGCAGCGTTGTAATCTTGCTTCGCCAGCCTCCTGTCCATAGGATTCTCCATGAGCATGGTGCGCGGCGGACAATTGGCCGGCGATATATCTAGCTTCTTCTGAGGGCAACAATGTTACTATATATGTATATGCCATTCCAAAGGACAAATTTGAAGAATACACCCTGCCTTGCCAGCTGTGACTCCAAAATCGCTTGATCTTTGTGGTCTCAAAGCTCTTGCAGTACTTAGACCTGGCCCAAGAACAGATCTTCAACCAATAAAACATGAATAGAAAAGCAAAATAATACACCGCAGAACTCACTCTTGAGCGAACATCAAATCTTCGCTTCCGGCTCTCCAATTTCTCGCCTGGAGATCCCTCGTCCGCAACGCAAAGCGTGGCAAACCCTCACAGCCCTGACCACCTCGGGTGACGTCGGCTCCATGGCTGCCACTTTGTCCGCCAACTTTTCCATAATCTCCGACATGTCGCTCTCCATGGGCGAGGTTAGCGGCGGGCCGGTGGCGCACAAAAAAAAAAAGCACTGAGTGACCTCAGTTTCACTGAGCCATCCAAGTCGCAGCTCGCACCAAAAGGATCAACAGAAGGCTTTCTCCGGTGAACCCGAAGGCTTCTTGTTCACCTACTATTTTGGGGGGGTCCCAAAACCAAAGAACTGCATAGCATATCACGGTCACCTCCAAAGTTCGTGTCGGACTGCGTAAATACTGCAGGAGTCTGCAAAAAGACTGCGGCGTGCATCCAGACGGCCACACACGTCCTTTTCTTGGGAGATCCGTCTACAGGCACAGCCAGAGATCTTTGTCGCCGGCCAACTGGGGCAACTCATGCGCTCAGAGACAGATCTCTTATTTCCAGTCACAGAGGTTGATGAGAACAAACAGCATTTTGCAACTGGTGGTGAACTTGACCAATCCTTAGCTTGGATTTCCTGTCCAGGAACCGGGAAAATAAACATCACCAGATCAGCACAACCGAGTTGAGCAAGATGCTTAGCAAAGAATTCCCGAAGCGGCTTGTGCATTGAAGACCCAATGGTGCTAGGGTTTGAGTTTAGATTGGAGAGATATATATGATGGACTCGAGTCGGTTCGAGTCCGAGCAGGAGTGGATCTGTGCCAAGGGGATCCACAGCAAAAACCAAGAACCAGGAGAAGCTGGGTTCCATCAACACCCATGGTACCAGTAGTTAGAAGCAGTGGGCCTAACTTTTCGAACACAGCCACGAGCCATCTAGACACTGCCAGTTGACGCAACCAATCCAAAATTGGCATCACCGGATGCTAGTCCCGTCCCGTGTCGCGCACAGAAGAAGGCACGCACGCTAGTCTACGGCATCAACCTCGGCACTGACTTCTACTGAAGGAGCCTATTTTCCACTTGGCACTCAGCACCGGAGGACGCCAGTAGTACCTCCGCACCAGCCACCTCGAGGGGGTTGTCGTTTCGTCATCGGTGGACGGTGGACGGTGGGCGGAGATGCAGTGAAGGGGTCGACGTTGGCATAGAAGGCTTGTGATAAGATCCTAGAGCGTAGAGGAGGTTGGTTGCAGAAGATAAAGTATAGGATAA